GGGGACAGTGGGGACATGGGTCAGGCTGAGCTTGGCAGGGGTGTGATGCAGGGACCTGGGGAGGGGGATGGAACTGGCTGTAAAGACAAGCCCCTGTGTCACTCCCTGCTAGCAAAACCCTGTCTGGCTCTTTGCATGGCACAGAAAACTGTCCTCACAGAGGGCTTGAGCTGAGGATGGGACCTCAGCCAGTCCCCAGCTGCATTGTCATGCAGCTGTCCTGGGGCCACCTGAGTCCATTCAGGCAGCAGGGCTTTCCCTGAGCTCTGTGTCCCCAGGCTGCTGCATCTATGGTCCCTTTGCATGTGTATATCTTCAGACTCTGATAACAGGGTCTCTCCTGCTCCCTACAGTTACACGGCTAAAGCCACATGCCTGTCAAGTGGCCGGGATTGCCCCAGCCTCTCCGGTCATAAGAAGGTCCAGCGAGCCCCAGCTGTGCCCAGGGAACAACAGCAAACCCCTGCCAGACCCTGCCCACAGCACCCACTCGACTCCCTGCCACGGGTATGCCCGTGCCTCCCCCTCTCCCTCCGTGAACAGCTACAGCGACCCAGACACGGGGCACTACTGTCAGCTCCACCCCACCTCGCCCATCAGCAGAGACCGGCCAGCTCATGACACCAAGCAGCTGCCAACAAAGAGCTACGTGGAGAGGCTAAAGGTGGAGGAAGGACAGAGAGGGACTGTGGAGAATGGCTCCGGGGAAGCAGAGGCAGGGCAGAGGCTGAAAGGAGAGATGGACTTCATGGGCTTTGTGCCCCCCACCATGGAGACAACCTCCTCCTTCAACCCTGCGGCCTTCCAGTCCCTGCTCATCCCCTTGGAGAACAAACCACTGGAGATGGCCGTGCTCAAGAAGGTCAAAGAGCTGCTGGCAGAGGTGGACGTGAAGACGCTGGCCAAACACATCACCAAAGTGGACTGCCTGGTACGGCCAGGGCCAGGTGGGAGGGATGGGCACTGCTGCCCTCCGATCGCTCCAGGTTGGCAGGGGATCGGAGCACCCCCAAGCATTGGGGCACCCCCGAGTGTTGGAGCATCTCTGCTGGGCTCTGCCATGCTGCATCAGCCAGGGCTGGCAGAGGCTGGGCTGGGGCAAGAGGCTGCCCAAGGATGCTTCAGCCTCTTCTCAATTAACAAAGGTCTGACCAGCTCTCACCTTTCTTGCCAGGTTGCCCGGATATTGGGTGTGACAGTGGAGATGCAGCGGCTCATGGGTGTGAGCTCTGGCATGGAGCTGCTCACCCTGCCCCACGGCCACCAGCTCCGCCTCGACCTGCTGGAACGGTACGGCACACCATGGCGGAGGCGAGCCCACCAGGTTGCCCCACACGGCACAGCCCAGCTCCCCTGGGGTGTCCCCAGCTTGGCATGGGGGGTGTCCACTGCATCTCCTGGGGTGGAGGAGTCCCGACCAAGCCCTGGGAGCATCCCCAGCCCCCCCCTACTGACCCCACTTTGCATCTCGCCCCGTGGCAGGTTTCACACCATGTCCATCATGATTGCTGTGGACATCCTGGGCTGCACGGGCAGCACGGAGGAGCGGGCAGCCCTGCTCCACAAAACCATCCAGCTGGCTGCTGAGCTGAAGAGCACCATGGGGAACATGTTCAGTTTTGCAGCTGTGATGAATGCCCTGGAAATGACACAGGTACGGGGATGCTCCCTTTGTCCTTGTGGCCTGGGCTCAGCCCCCTCTCCCAGTGTCCTGCAGGCTCTGACAACCGTTGGGGTGGGAGAAGGGGGAAAATGCCCAGGGGATGCATGGAGCCACGTCTGCTGGGGTGTAAGCAGGGAAGGAGAAGAGCCGTCCCCTCCACAGAGCAGACAGCCCAGTCCTGCCAGGATCTGATTGTTTTTCAGTGGTTGGGCTTTTTGTTTTGTGCTGGGCTGTGTTCCTGGGAGGAAATGAATCTGCCCTCCGGTACAATACAAATCAGTCTCAAGGCCGTGGCAGCAGTGTCTCCGGGCCACACTGCTCCCTTTGGAAGATGAAAGGAGATTAAAATTCAATTTTAAATCGAGCCCAGCTGGGAAGTCTTGCTTCCTGCCTGCACAAAGGAGGTGGAACGGCTGCCCCCTCCCTGCGTCTCATCTTCAAGGCTGCTGCGATGTGGGGAAGCTGCTGTCCTGGGGCATGGGGAGGGGAGAGAAATCCTGAACGCAGCCTCAGTGCCAGGGATGTGCTGTCTCTGGCTGTGAGCGCTGGTGAAGGAGGCTGTTTTGGGGAGCAGCAGGCACAGCTGGGGGCCATGGCTCTAGGGCCAGCCTGTGCCCCCTGGGAGCACCCTGCAAGCCCAACGCCTGGTGTCCAGGGGCTGTGCTGCCCCCAGCACCCTCCATCTCCAGCACCCCCAGCACCATCTGCCCCATCTACTTTCAGATCGCCCGGTTGGAGCAGACTTGGATGGTGCTGCGGCAGCGGCACACGGAGGGCGCAATCCTCTATGAGAAGAAGCTCAAGCCATTCCTGAAGAGCCTGAACGAAGGGAAAGGTAACAGGAGCAATTCCCCTTCTCTCACCTGCCTGCTCCTTCCTGCTTTGTCCAGGCACGGCCTTGCTGGAGGGGGATGTGTTTGAGAGCTCTGACCCTCTTCCAGCCAGTGCCAGACGCTTCCCCTCGGTTTTTCAGACACCCGGCAGGGCCCGTTGGCCTTGGCTGCCCCTTCCTTCCCAAGAAAGCATTTCATAACTAAATAAAACCAGCAGCTGGGCACAAATACAACTCAGCTGAGCCAAACCCTCGCACTCACATGGCAGTGCATGCCAAGCCGAGGGGACAGGGCAGCCAGTCGGGGAAGATGAAAAGCCACATCTCTCCAACACCCAGCACTCTGGGTTCTGCAAACCTGCCCATCACAGCCCTGGGAAACAGGAACACAGCCTGAGCAGGGAAAGCAGCATTCCCCTCCCAGCACAACCAGAAAGCCTGCCTGGGAAGAGCTGGTGTTGAATGAGGCGATGGCCCCAGGCACAGCGATCGCAGAGCCACAGCTGCTGCTGAGCCTTAAAGCCTCTCCTGGGAGCGCGGTGGCAGCCCAGCTTTGCGGGGCCATGTGGCCACACGAGCACTCCATGGGGCTGGGGCAGATGGGAAGGGGGACGCAGGGGCACAGGGCTGTGCGGGGTCCTCAGGGTGCCTCTCTCCACAGAAGGGCCGCCGCTGACCAACACCACCTTTCCCCACATCATGCCCCTTGTGACTCTCCTGGAGCGGGATGAGGCTCTCACGGACAGCCCTGAGCCCTGGGACACCACCGACAACGGCGTGGAGGTGGTCATGGCCCACCTGGAGGCGGCGCGGATGGTGGCCCACCACGGTGGGCTTTATCACACCAACGCCGAGGTGAAGCTGCAGGGTAAGCAATGGGGATGGCAGAGCCCCTTTCCCTGTGCTGTGTTCCCAGTGCGCAGCTGCAGCCCAGCACCAGACGGAGCACCCCACTGGTGCAGGGTCCCCATCCCATCCCATCCCATCCTGGGGAACTGACTCTCCCTCTCTGCAGGTTTCCAGGGCAGAGCGGAGCTGCTGGAGATATTCAGCACCGAGTTCCAGCTGCGGCTGCTCTGGGGCAGCCGTGGGGCTGAAAGCAGTCAGGCCGAGCGCTATGAGAAGTTCAACAAAGTCCTCACTGCCCTGTCCCACAAGCTGGAGCCGATCCCACTTGTAAATACATTTTCACGATCACTTCTCAATGTACAGACTTGTGAAGGATGGTTCTTGTTGTAAATAATTAGGCTCATTCGTTTCGTCTTGTAAATACGTGTACATATCTCATGGGTTTGGTTCTTACATACAATAAACTTTTATGCTGTTCCTCAAGGGGATCCCCTCTCCCGTGGGTGTCATTTAAACGAGGCCCCAGCCCCCCCGGGAGAGCAAGAGGCCAGGGTAGGGCTGGTGAAGGGGACCACCGTGCTGAACCCGGCCCTGCTGGGCCCCCGGAGTGGTCCAGCGGCATCCCTTCGCTGGCGGGGGGGGGCTGTGCCGTCGTCCTGACCCCCGCTCTGCAGGGGGGGCCGGGGTCCCGCGCACCC